GGGACTAAGACAGCCTGCCTTCCTCAAACTCATGACAGAACAGTGCTTTTGGCAAACCAACGCTTCCATTATTCTAACTGCTATTGCCACTGGCCTGTAAGGCTACCATGACAGGCATGTTATACAAATAAGCGAGACTTTTTTTTTTTAATAAGTAAATATAAAGAAGTTAGGTAGTGTTAACAGAGAACAAGTTTATATACGTCATTATGAAAGAGATGTGAAGCAAAGATTTATTTCAAGAAGAATGGTTCCATTAAATAAATACTTCTTGGGGAAAAATGAATTCAGAAGAAATAAACCTGACCTTTGCAAGAGGTTTAGAGGGAGGGACTGGCCTCCTCAAAAATGCTTCTTCGTGGCAGGAGAGTGCTGGCTGTCAATCAGAGCCGCCAGAAACAGGATATCAGAAGAGCAAAAACCAAAAATTGATGTAATTATTTATTTCTCAGAAAATGCCCTGAGTAGTACTAAAAAAACACTCGGATGAGAAATTAGATGATGTTTTATTCAATAGCTCATCTTTCACTTCATTGTCTTCACCAGCAGGATGAACCTGACTTCCGGTAACTGAGAAATCCTATCTGCCAGGGGCCAAGAGAAAAGCTGCCTCAATAGACTCCCAGGCTCCTGGTCAGGAAAGACAGCCTAGCTGTCTCTTAGCACGGGTACTCACACAGTTATCTGGTTATTAATCAAACTCTGCAAACTCATTCAAGAAAGAAGTTGGGCCATGTGAAATTCCCAGTATGTGACCAGTTTTAACCTACAAAACGGCAACGTTACATGCTTCACCTTAATGTATATTTTTGTGGCTGGTCTTAAAAAAATAAACGAGTCAAGAACAGCACGTTCGTCTCAGAGAAGGATCTTGAAAGAGACAGTTTTCTGAAGAGGTTTCAGCAGCAAAATAGGGCACTCTGGCTTAGTGGGCTCCCTGAAGGGGGAGGTGGGAACATGTGCACGCCAGGGCCGCAGGAAGACCACATAAAAGTGCTGGAATATAAGGACTGACGGTGAGCTTAACTATAAATACGCTTTAAAAAAAGTTAACATACACAGATCTAGTCTAAGCCTTAGAAGGAAGAAAAAAAAAAAAAAGATACTCAAAAGTATGTTAAACATACTCCAAACTGAAAATGCGTAGAAAACAGAACTTGCCAAGGAAAGCTTCCTTCTGTGTTAAGACGCCCCATTCCTCTCAGTCTGCAGAGAGGCTGTCCTTCGGTATCTTAACCCCTGGCTTCCAGGGAGCCCAGAGGTTGGCTGGAGCTTTCCATCATTGGTCATTTCTCTGACATCATAAGACACAACTAGAGAGGCAGCCAGCCCCACCAACACTGGGCAGCAAGGGGCGCCCCCATCGGGGGCTGGTGCCCGTTAACTCCACGTTAGCAGTTTTATTATAACCATCCACCACCTCCCCTCTTTAAGCCATAAAACCTGTACACCTGGTGCCTGCCCAGGAGTAAATAATGAAGCTAAATTAAAAAAACCTGCCTGACCCAGGCTCAGGTGTGGGACATGCAGTGCCAGCAGTTAGCTGGGGGCCAGGGTCCCCACAGAAGGAGGCCCCACCCCAGGAGACATCTCTACCCCAAAGAAGGCCTCTACATGCGAGAGATGGCCCATCCCAGGAGATGAGCCCCACCCCCAGGAGGGCCCCCACCCCCAGGAGGGCCCCCACCCCCAGGAGACAGGTCCACCCCCAGGAGGGCCCCCACCCCGAGGAGACAGGTCCACTCCCAGGAGGGCCCCCACCCCCAGGAGACAGGTCCACTCCCAGGAGGGCCCCCACCCCCAGGAGACAGGTCCACCCCCAGGAGGGCCCCCACCCCCAGGAGACAGGTCCACCCCCAGGAGGTCCCCCAACCCCAGGAGACAGGTCCACCCCCAGGAGGGCCCCCACCCCTAGGAGACAAGTCAACCCCCAGGAGGGCCCCCACCCCCAGGAGACAGGTCTACCTCCAGGAGGGCCCCCACCCCCAGGAGACAGGTCCACCCCCAGGAGGGCCCCCACCCCCAGGAGACAGGCCCACCCTGAGAGACAGGCTCCAACCTCAAGAGGCTCTCCAACCCTGGGAGACGGGAGGGTCCCACTCCCCAGGAAATGGCCCCATGCCCCAGAGACGGCCCCTGAAACTAAGCCAAGTCTGGGCCATCTCTGAGACCCTGGGGCACCAGTAGGCAGAGGGGCACTAGGACTGTCCTGTCCCACCCCAAGCCCTCGCTGGAGTGGACCTCATCCCAGGTGGAAGTGCCTGGGCTTGTCCAAGGGGTCACTCGAGGGCCTCTCTCCCCTCCCACTGGCCATTCCTGTGGCAGAGGCTGAGGTGGTCCAGCTGGCAGATGGGTAGCCTGGCCTGTGGAGGACCCCAGAGCCTGGGGCCAGGGAAGAGTGCCCAGTGCTGACCTCTTCAATTCAGGGACAGGGCCTGCTCTCATCCTGGCTGTTGGCCTGGGTTGGCCCCTGGATGCAGGACTGGTGACCCAGGCAGGTGGGTGGGCGGTTCACAGCCAGGGCAGCAGCTGCCTAGGGGCCGTGTGGGATGGCCTGGTCACTTCTAGTACTGGTCCTCCCCCCACACTCTCTCCGGAGATCCTGGGCCATCTCCCAGCAGACGCAGTGCCATCTCCCAGCCCCCACCCTGTCCACAGGTCCTGGGCCATCTCCCCGCACCGCACCCTGTCCACAGGTCCTGGGCCATCTCCCCCCGCACCCTGTCCACAGGTCCTGGGCCATCTCCCCCCGCACCCTGTCCACAGGTCCTGGGCCATCTCCCCCCGTACCCTGTCCGCAGGTCCTGGGCCATCTCCCCCCGAACCCTGTCGGCAGGTCCTGGGCCATCTCCCCCTGCACCCTGTCCGCAGGTCCTGGGCCATCTCCCCCCACCACACCCTGTCCGCAGGTCCTGGGCCATCTCCCCACACCGCACCCTGTCCGCAGGTCCTGGGCCATCTCCCAGCAGACGCAGTGCTCCTCCGAGTTCCTGCCCTGTCTACCTGAGGGACGTCACTCTTGGGCCAGCAGGACTGGCTCTGTGGGGCCAGGGGTCACCGTCCAGCTTTCGAAGCCTGAATGACTTCCTGGTAAGCTTTCCCTCGGCATCTTCAGGACAGCTACCCCACAAACCTTGGGTAAACGTCAGGAATTTTCCCAGCTCGTTCTCCCTCCCTCCCCTCCGAAGTCAACAGACAGTCCTGGCCTGGCTTCCTAAGACACTTTCCGGTGCCGACAGGAAGTTTCAGGTTCTTTCTTACTAGAGAAATTTTCTTAACGAAGGACAAGAACATCTGCTGGTCACATCCTGTTTCCTGTTCCTGCTAGCTAGGTGGCTACCCCAAAATGGCTACCACAGAGAGAAGAGTTCTCCTCTGCTAGACCCCCCAAGTCCCTGCTTGAAAAGTAGAACCACACCCGGGCCTCCTATGGCCGCACAGCAGCATCCCCACCCTGTGCTGGGCGCAAAGTAAGTGCACTAGTCCCCTGTGCTCGCAGCTCAACCCGGCACGCCACACCCCCACATCCTCAGCTCAACCTGGCACGCCAGGCTCCTGGAGAAGAGCAGGACCAGCAGGCCGGACGGATGACCTGGCGGTAGGCAGTCTGGGGGGCTGAAGCACCCACTGTGCGCCCCGTGCCCCCATTCACCAATCTGCACATCTGTGGTTTCTGGGGCATCTGGCGAGTGTCCTGCAAAGGCACACACTCGCTCCCCAGGCCCCTGTCCTGGACTCACGACCCTTAGAAACTCTGGAGTCCTACCAAGAGCAACCTTGGTAACAGCTCTGCCTGGTGCGAGGTGGGGGCCGCAAGGCGCGAGGGGGGCCGCAAGACACCTGGTATCAAGGCTGCACGGCTTCACCTCGTTACAGACGAGAAAGGCTCACGGCTTACCTGTCCACTCATCCGACCTTGGGCGTCAGCTCAAATTTCAGGAGTGTCTCTGCCCCATCCCCACCCCCTGCCGGAAAACACGACCTCATTTTTAAGTTCGTTTCTTCATAAAACCATAGCGGCGGTTAGAACACCACTCAACTGATTATTAAGAAAATCCCTTTTTGAAATTCAAAACTGCTTCACATCTACCTTGTCTTGGGGAAAAGTAAGTTGTTTCTCTTAATTATGTACGTATATACTTACACATGAAAACCCTGGTGGCCTAGTGGTTAAGTGGTACAGCTGCTAACCAAAAGGCTGTCAGTTCAAATCCACCAGGCGCTCCTTGAAAACTCTACGGGGCAGCTCTACTCTGTCCTATAGGGTCGCTACGAGTCGGAATTGACTCCATAGCAACGGGTTTGGTTTATACTTATACATATATATTCTGTATATGAATACATACCCGTTAATATAGAAATGACTCGAAAAAAGCCACTACGCAAAGCGAAAATTCTGTATGTGTCTTGCGTGACTTCAGCTGCCGTAACGCATTTCTGCATCGAGCAGATCCAAACAGAAGCGTAAAGAGTAACGAGTCTGGGGAACTGTTTTTAGATTGTCACAGGCGTCAGGTGTCTTAGGTAACGGACTCTCAACTCATCTGTTAGGAAAGTAACATCTGCGAGAGTGACAGAGATGAGAAGTCAGAACTCATCTGAAAAGAGAGCGCTGCCACCTTCTCGGACGCAGTGCCATCAGCCAGCACCTCCTCCCGAGGAACTGGCGCGCAGAGGGTTTCAGGGAACAATCAGCGTATTGAACACTCTACTGCCATTCAGATGTGCTCCTATTTAAACCTTTCAGCTGGGCAGAGTCAGGAGTCAAGCTGCATCATTTTTACTGCCTTTGCCATGAACTATGCGGCCACGTGCCAAGACTAACACAGCCCTCAGAATGCCTGGGGATGAGGACCTCACAGCTGCCAGCTCGGCCACATGCTGTCTGGGTGTAGGTGATGTCAAAATACCAGGCTGGAATAGTCAATAAATGTGATGTAAGTGATAGCTAATCAGGCGAACTCCCTGAAGGACACATGGGGCGCTGCTTCGTTACTGACCTCGTTGGAAGATGGGGTGGTGGAGAGCAGGCAAGGGGAGCCCTTCGACGGCCGCGGGATCCTGGAAATAGGCCTCCAGCCAGGCTGCACACTGGGTCAGCGGCTCCGCTGTTTCCTCGAGAGACGCTGTGGCCACACTGGGGCTGCAAAAGGGATAGGAGCAGAGCTTCATCAGCTTCTGAGCCGGCTCCCCTCACCGTGAAAGCAGGCAGGAAACAATGCCGCTGCATGGCAAGGGGCTGGGGGCTGGCGCTGCTGCCTGGTCCTGTCCTCTCAGCCAGCTGTGCACTCGGGTTAGGACCCCAGAGATGCCAACTTAGGGAAATGGGGCACGGGCATGCTGGGAAGACAGGCCACCCCATTCCCACCTTTCAGCTTTAGGAAACCCCAACCATCCGGGAAAAGGTGGGGGGTTCCCAGAGAAGACTGGTCGTGTACCTGGGCACTTCCGCTGGGGCCCCACACGTGCACCGGGAAGCATGCGACGGGGAAGGACAGCCACAGGCATGCCAAGTCCCCCTGGGATGGAGGGAGAATGGGGGAGAGGAGGTGGTGCACACTGAGGTGAACTAGGGCCCCCCACCCCTGCTCCTCCATGATGCCAACAGCAAGCAGCCCCACGGGCCAGCTCATATGCAACCGGACAGCGATTATAACCTAGATACAACCCCAGTGCAAAGGGAAGCCATATAGCTAGCTGCTGTTCCAGCGTGCACTGCACTGTTCCCATCGACCCCTGCAACCCATGGGGGGTTTCCCTCCCGAGGAAGCATGCAGAGAACAGAGATGTCCTAGGACTCCTGGATCAGGGTTTTGAGCCAGCTTGTTCCAGTTCAAAACCCTATCGAGAATTTACATTTCCACCCCAGATACACTGAATCAGAATCTACATTTTAACAAGATCCCCAGGTAATTCTTACATTAAGTTTTGAGAACCACTGTTCTACTAGTGGTTCTCAGAAATGGTCCCAAACCAGCATCATTAGCATGGCCTGGGAACTAATTAGAAATGCAAATTTTCAGCAGGGGTTTGAACCAGAACTAACTGGTTCAAAGCCCTGCCCTGGACCAACCACCTAGCTCAACACCTCCTGCAGCTGGAGCCCAGCCGGCCCTGTCTGCACACCCTTCTACAGGTGGGGCTGGGATGCTGGTCACCCCAGGATATGGCTCGTCTCCAAGGCTGTGGGCTCTGGCCTGCCATCCCCCACACGGCCACAGGGGCTCCTCGGGGGTCCCCCACGCTGCCACAGGGGCTCTTTCGGGGTCCCTCACGCTGCCAAGGGTGCTCCGCAGGGGTCCCCCATGCTGCCATGGGGGCTCCTCGGGGGTCCCCCACACTACCATGGGGGGCTCCTTGGGAAGCAAGCCTGCACTTGAGGAGAGGGGTATTTATTTTTTTCTACTCTTCTTTATCATTCTTTTGTAATCTTCTTTTGGTACACACAACAAAACACACCACTTCAACAATTTCTCCATGTACAATTCACTGACACTGGTGACATTCTTCAAGTTGTGCAGCCCTTCTCGACAACCTTTTCCAAACTATTTCACTATCATTAACGCAAACTCACTGCCCCAAGCTTCTCATCTAACCTTTCAAGTTGCTGTTGCCAATTGGATCACATGTAGATAATTCTTTAAAACTGTATAATGATTAATGCAGACATTCTTTTCTAATTATGCTGAACTATTATTTGGCTCAAAGATGACTTTAGGTGACAATTTCAGTTCAAGATTTAAAGACTTCCTCAGGATAGTAGTTTCGTGTGGTCTCCGGCCTCCAAGGCTCCAGAAAGTCTGGATTTCATATGCATTTGAAATTCTGTTCTGCATTTTCCCCCTCTTGATCAGGATTCTTCTATAGAATCTTTGACCTAAAAGGTCAGTATTGGTAGCTGGGGCACCATCCTCGACCTATACAATCCTTGATCTAAATGGTCACTATTGGTAGCCAGGCACCATCCAGTTTGCTTTTGGTCTCATGACAAAGGGGGCAGTTGTTCACGGAGGCAGTCAGACATGTTTTCCATTCGAGGGGGGGAGCATTTTAAACCAAGAAGAGGGGCTTCTGCATCCATCCCAACCTGCTTTCTCTTACAAGTGTAATTTCTCGCTCGGGGGTCCCTCTGAGCGACGGGGCGTCCCAGCCCGCCAAGGCGCTGCACAGTCTAGTACTCTCTCCTCCACACTGCCCAGGGGATTGAAACGTGAGCTGTGCTTCCTAGCATTTCTCACTCTTAAAAGGATATTTGAAGAATTTTTATAGTAGTAAAATTCATCTTAAATTGATTTTTTATGCTTGTGCTAAAAATCTCAACCTCTGATTTACTCTGTAGTTCTCCTTTTTAACTCTTTCTCTATTGGCATTAGATAACTATTCGTGGGTGAAATGTAATTAAACAGCTTTGACTCCGAAGCAAGGATTTACGACACTACATTTAAAATGAATGGCATTAAACACACACGTAAAATCAGATTTTTAAAGCCACAATACAAATTTCCATTTCTACAATAAAATGGAATTTATTTGCTGCCCTGCCCTCTCCTCAACCTCACTGTACTCGTCTCTGAAATAGCTGTAGGGTAGCAGGCTCACTAACTGCCCCACTTATTACAGAGGAGTTCCTCCAGGCTTCCCTACCCATGCACCTGGAAACCCCAATAATTACGGGCTCCGTGGACCAGGTGCATCTAAATGCCACTGCCAAGTCTTCCCTATGAACTCAGCAGCCCACCTACCCACCGAAATGCAAGCGCCTGTCGCCCTCTGCACTGTCTCTAGAAAAATGTCAATGCTTGGGAACGGCAACGGGGTGCCAGGTACCACCACGGATTGTTGTTATTGCGTTAGCTGCTGTTGAGTCAGCCCCTGACTCATGGCGATCTCATGCACATCACAAAAAAACCCTGTCTAGCACTGCACCATTCCCATGACTGGTTGTGGATCAGACCGTTGTGATCCATAGGGTTTCCACTGGCTGATTTTTGGAAGATTGCCAGGCCTTTCTTCCTAGTCCATCTTAGTCTGGAAGCTCCCCTGAAACCCGTTCAGCATCACAGTAACATGCACACCTCCACTGACAGATGGGTGGTGGCTGCGCATGAGGCGCCTTGGCCAGGAATGAAACCCAGGTCTCCCGGATGGAAGGGGAGAATTCTCCTGCTCAACTACCGCTGCCTCAGTCACTGTGGAATCACGGTCAGAAATCAGCTGGAAAGGTAACCCAGCACCTATAGACGGAGACAAGAGAAGGCCGCCCCAGTAGCAGCTGGACTGATGCAGAGAAGGGGCACCCTGGGTCCTCATCTCGCACGACCTTCTCAGGGGACACCATGCACCGTGAGAATAATAATCCTGAGACAAACATCGTGACGTGGGACCCTCTGGATTTTTTTGAACTTGGCAGCAGAGTGCCGGCCAATGGCTGGGAGGAGTCTGGCTTGTTGAGTGCTTTTTTACATATGACAATGGTGGGGGGGTGTATCGGGTACCTTAATACAGCAAAATTAAAATCGCATACGATTTGGTTTAAGGATTTCTTCCCAAAAGATGCAACTGCTGAAAAGTCCCGGGACTTATTAAGGACAGACAGGACAGCAGCACCCTGTCCCCGCATTCCAGGGCATTGGAGTCCCCAGTGAGGTCTCATGGCGTCTCCACACTGTAAGAAGCCAGGTGAGCTGCCCTCTTCCAGGACGTGGAGAAAGAATGGCCCAGTGACGAACTGCACTTCAAACTTGTTTTGATACAAACTGTCTTCCCTTCAACCCAAACCAGGACATGGAAAAGCCATTAAAATGCTCCAGAACACACTTCTGAAATAATGTTTCCAACAAAGCAGGTGGCAAAGCTTTGCTGAGGCATACAAGGGAAAACCCAAACTTCAGGGTGTCAGGCTGCTGAGTGCAGATGTTCCTCAGAGGAAAACGGCTCTCCTGGCTTCACGAGGCTGACATTCCAGCATGCTAATGTTAACAGGACCGTGACTGAAGAGTTCTTGTGAAGAACACACATCACACCCAGGTAAACAGGAAAGCTGGAAGGTGACTTCATCACGCTTAAATTAAGTGCACCCAGAGTTGGAGCCAAGATGGCGGAGTAGTCAGATGCTTCCAGTGGACCCTCTTACAACAAAGACCCGAAAAAACAAGTGATTCGATTATGTATGACAATCTGGTGGCCCTGAACATCAAAGGCAAAGTTGAGGAACCAGACTGAATGGCAGGGGGAGGGAGAGATGGTTCAGAAGCAGTGAGGAGGTGCCAGACCTGCCCTGGCGAGAGCCTGAGCCCTTCAGGCCTGATCGGCTCGGGGGTGAGCAGTGAGGCAGGCAGGTGGCGGTGTGCGGGAGGAGCGTTTTCCGCACCGGGAGAGACCCAGCACCAGAGACTCTACACGGCCACCCGGAAACAGTGAGAAGCAGCCCTTCACGAAAGATAAGTACTTGTGTATGGCCTACTGCGTGGATCAAAAACACGCCACTCAGGGAAAAACCTCTCTCCCATTTACCCCCCACTCCCTGCTCTGCACTGGGTCCCAGACCAGCTTCAGCAATTGCTGAGTACCCTGGGCTGGAAGTAGGGTCCATCACACACCCTGAGCCATTCTCCCGGCCTTGGAGAGTGAAAAAATTAACAAACGGGAAAAAATAAAATGCCGGCTCCCCTAAGCCAGGAACCCAGGGTAGGCACAGCTCCTTTGCCCAGACACAGGCATAAGGGATCCACGGACTGCCTTTCCCCCTGCATAGACTTGCGTGGGCCCGTTTCAACAGCGTAGGCCCTCATTACTGCAGGACTACAGGGTATATACCCGAAGTCTAACTTCAGCTGTTTCAGCTGTGAAGTGGCAGGTTTGTGACATTTGACTCTGCTCTGTCCATTAAGTAGGGTCTTCACCTACCCACATCAGGAGCCTGAGGATGGGTGGCTCCACCCATGCCACCTAGCCACCTGTGATAGGGGCCCAAGAATAAGAGATGCCCCCCCACCCCCAGTCATTACAGCCAACAGCATTGGGTGCTCATAGTCTAGCTGCAAAACCTACCCACCTATGCGCTCCAGGGAACAGGGACACGCCTACCTCCTGGACACTTAGGGACAAGAACCAGCCCCCTGCCTTGCTCAGAGTGTGTCCCCC